GATGTTGTGAGGTCAAAGGCAGAAGATTTCCAGATGACCCAATATGTTATTTAAGTTTTTCAGTGATAAAAATTCTTTTGCGAAAAAGATCAGTTTTGTATTAATCCAAATCCAGTATTTATAAAGGGAAATACCTTCACACATGCATTTATTGACTTCAGAATTGTTGCTATAGTGAACTTGACCAGTAATTTCATATTTTGTGCTTGCTTGATTCATAGTTTATTATTGCCATAAAATACATTGTTAATGTATAATTTGAAGAAGCAACCAACTACAACCCCTGGGAAAGAAGTGTATTAGACATTTGTATTTAAAAATAAATTAGACATTTGTATAAAACACTGGGTAGAAATATAAATAAAATTTTTGTGCTAAATCAAGCTAGTTTTTCTTGAATCACATGGCAATAGGTCTATTAGTTTCAGTTAGGTTATGTTGTTTGAATATGATGAAACACATGGAGGCTATCTGCTTAAAGGGAAGGGTGATTTCAAGGAGGACTTTTTAAGAGAAATTAGCTTCTATTCACATTACACTTGGGAAAAACTGTGAAGAACATTTATGCAGCTTTCCCACCTGCTTGAGTTCAAAACTAGGTCGAGCTACCAGTATTCAGTAGTCAGCCATTGTTGGGTCTACACAAGTCTACTGTTAAATAAAGAGGGTATCTAATTCAGAAGTCAAACAACAAAAATCAGCGTTGTATTTACAAAATTTTCACAGGACTAGTTTCGATGGTTTTACCGAACCACCATCTTCAGCTGCAAAACTGCAAATGAACAAGATAGGAAATAATGATTAGATAAGATAAGAAAGCCTGGACAAGAATAAGCAAGTGGTGCCATCTGTTGGCGAAACCAGAACTAAAACATAATTTCTCTAAAAGCCGAAGGCAAATTTGGATTTGGATTGGAATTAGGATCGTTAACTAGAACAGAAAGATTTTTATGAATGTGAAATGCCTCTAGAAAATCCAATTCTCCAATGGAAGATGCTTTTTGAATAATTTTAGCAGCAGAAAAATTGAAAGTGTGATTTTTGGACTAACAATGTTGAGCAACAGAAGACTTCTGTGTTTACTTTTTTCTAACATATGCCTCATGTTCTTTGACGCAAAATTTTAAACCATGGAAACTAGTCCTGTGAAAATTTTGTAAATATAATGCTGATTTTTGTTGTTTGACTTCTGAATTAGTATTTATTCGACGTGTTATTGTGTCTTAAAGAGGGTATCTTTTAGTTGTTTCACTTTAATTTAACTAATTTATTCATATTTTAAAGCTGATGCTAGTACATGTTGAAAAAAAATATTTTTTGTACATTTGATGATAAAACATGCTAATGGTGAATAACTGATAACTAATAGTTAACAAGTAACTGTTAGCTAATAGTGAATAACTGATAGCGATAGGAGATAGAGTGATAGCTTCAACTGCACAGTTAACTCCTCTTAAGAAAAGTATTGTACTTGCATTGAGTGTTGAAGATTTTTCAGTATAGCAGAAAATAGCAGAAAGAACTAGCTGAAGTGTAGCTTGTTTGTTGATGAAATTTCATCAGACTGGCTGTAAACAGAAACATCAACAATGGTTGCTGAAGACAGTCTACATTAATACTAGTTGACATTCAAAAACAGAAAAGCAATGTAAGTTGATCTCAGATCAGCAAGAAATGCAAAGTGGGAAGTAGACGTATGCAGTCCTGAATGGTCCAGTGGTTAATAGATGGTATGATCATACAGTTGAAATGTTTAGATGGAATTGCATTATTTCTACAGTGAACCATTCAATATTCCATTTGATATGGGAATAATTTTCATAAGTAAGAAATGGGGTACTTAAATTCACAAATCAGAATGATAACACCTGAATCCTGTACAGTCAAACTACAGCATAAATTTTTGCCGCCTGCTTTTGGTTATTATTGCACTGCCAAGATGATTCGGTTCTGTGCCACAGAATCAAATCAGTAAGTAAACAACACATTGTCAGTATATATACATAATGCTTATGTTTATTCACAATTGCTTATGTTTTTTTTTACCTCATGCTCGATTAATCTTTTCTAGATAATAAAAAAGTGCTTCAAAATAAAACTATTTGTACATCAGTGGTGTCTTGTAATTATTCAGTTTCAAATCTCGTAGAAAATGTTTCAAACGATATGGGTTGGGAGGATTTGAACTAGAATTGATACAGATAAAAAAGAATTTTGTTTTTTTTGTTTAGCTTATGAAATACCTCATGAAAAAATCCAGAATTTCAATCATTTAAGTCATAGTGATGTGTATTTGTTATCAAATGTGGGGACTGTCACACCAAATACTCGTGCTGCCAGATGTTGCTACTATGTAGATTTTTGCTGCCTTCTGTTGTTTGTGAATTTCTTCTTTTACATGATATTTACAGCAGTGATGCTGTCTCTCTTTCTTAAAATAGAAAGTAAAAAGTTGTATTAACAGCTGTTTTTATGAATTCGTAAAACACATATGTACAGTTAAGAATCAAAAGTGGCACCATTTCTTTTTCAGTATCATCTGCTCGTACTTGGATACACTTTTAGATTGTTTAATGAGCAACTCTGTGTTCATGAAAAAGAAATTTTAACTTTTATCCTTAAAATATTCCATTACTGCTCTTTCACGATCATTAAATCTTTCATCACCATTAAATCTCTTTCCAGAAAATCAGTTTAGAGAACAGGAAATAATCTTTTAAAACTACTTCTAGATGGTAAGAAAGCAGTCAAATTCACACTGTTGTTTTAGTTGCACTGACATGTTGCTGTTTTTGAAATACTGAAAAATATTGGAGTACTAACTTACCGAGAGTTTGCTAATGTACAATGCACAAAACAGTTAGTTTTTAGATTAAATCCTGCTGCTAATCTTCTATCACTTAATATTTTCTCCTGGACACAAATAGTATTTTCTGATGTCATTCTATTTACACTGGTCAACCTTTATGAGAATTCCCTTGCACAGATTCTAGACCCATGTGAAAATGTTTTACCTATTCTTTTACTGTAGAGCAGGGAGGAGATGAATGGAATGCATATGCTCCAAGGGGTGTTTTATTTCTTTGAGACTGAGACTTCAGTGAAAAATTTAATCACAGAATCATATTCAGTTTTAGACATCACTTCACTCAGTAAACAGTCAAAAAAAGATTGCATGCAGTTTCTCTTATCAAACTCATTTTGTGTTGCCACTACATGTTTGCAAAAGGAATTTATTATTAAACAGTTTTTACATGTGAAGCTGGGAACTTTCGAACTTACGTCAGTTTACAGCAGTTTGGTGATTTTATTCCATAACAGACATCAAATGCAATATGTGTTGCAATTTTTCTACACCACTTTAGCTTAAAATTCATGCAATCATATTATAAGTTATGACTATAAATTGTAATATAATGATTTTTCTTAAAATTGGAACATATAAAAATGATTCTGCATGAAGGTTTTTTTTTTTTTTTTTTTTTTTTTAAAGTAATTTTGATCTTATTTAAAGACTTATGCTAACTCTTTGCTCTGAAAATGTGACTCTGAGTTGCATTTCTGCTTTCAGTATATTAAATTAGAATATATTATTCAGTATATTATAATAAAATAAATATTTATATTAAAATATTAAATAGGTCTTTACTTTCATTGTTTACTTTTAAACGTTTAGTCTATATACATCTATCTTTCTATCTGTAAAAAGAATATAAATGATTAATGTAATGCAGTTTGAGTGAGTTTACTAGTATGATTTCCTTATGTGTATGTTCATAATGTTGATTGTGCTTCATGGAGGAGAAATTAAGTGTTACTCTTCAGTTTGCAAATGTCCTAGCAATATTTAAAATAAACCAATGATGGCAGCATTATTCAGCACATATAAAAATAAATCTGTATACGTTTAAATATGACTTAAATACATTTCTGTAGACTCTCTATAAAACCACATAATAATTTTTTTGCGATATCATACATCCATTTAAATAATGTGTTTAAAGCTTTTATATTAAGTAAATCATTAATGTAATATAGTTTTTATCTAAATACTTTAATTTCAGTATGAAATTTTTATTATTTCAGATTATAACTTGTGTTAAACTAAGAAAGAACTACTTGTTGTCTAATTTATTGGCTGACCTTAGGAAGTTATCTCTAATATTTCATGACTTATTGCATCTGATCATGCTTAACTATGAATGTACAATATACATTTCAAAGTAAAACCTAGCTTGAAACTTTATTAATCTGTACTTGTGGTAATACATTTAAAAAGTGATAACAAAGTAAATGATGCAACTTCTCACCAACTGTAAATTACAATGGCTTGCTGTTAAGCTACAGTTGCATTTTGACTGTGCAATAAAACCTATTCAGAATTGTAACATCTTTTTGGTTTAAAATCAGCTAATTTTGAAACACTTACCAAACTCAAACATTTTTACTTTCGGCATTGTGACTAGCTTCCCTTTAAGTATGTTGTCAGGGAGTGAATTCCACAGATCTGTCAGTTAAGATTACATCTTAATTTTAACCTATGCTGCAAAATTTGCATGAACCTTCAGTTTAAGTGAGTAATATCCAAGACATACAGGGAAAACAATTAATATAATGCAAAACGTTAGTTAAGCTAAAATCATCAATATCAGTATGTCATGGGCAATATTATCAAGTAAAGTGCAAAAAATCTATTTTCTATCTGTGCAATAAATCAATGACTTATATTTTGTAGTGTCTCTATTTTTTTTTTTTTTTTTTTTTTTTGTTTTTGTTTGTTATTATTTCATTTTAAATACTTATTTTTTTTCCTTTTTTTTTTTTTTTTTTTTTTTTTTTTTTTTTTTTTTTTTTTTTTTTTTTTTTTTTTTTTTTTTTTTTTTTTTTTGTTTTTTTTTTTTTTTTTTTTTTTTTTTTTTTTTTTTTTTTTTTTTTTTTTTTTTTTTTTTTTTTTTTTTTTTTTTTTTTTTTTTTTTTTTTTTTTTTTTTTTGTTGGGGAGTTTACCATACCCAGAATTATTTGGAGTGTTACTGCTTTTACTAAAGAGCAGTTTACCACTGTTAATGGCTATTCAAATGAATACTTTGGATGGGGTGCTGAAGATGATGATCTGTATGACAGGTAAAAAATTCCTAATATGTATTATTTTAAATAAATTTTAGCTTCTATTTCTTAGAGCATGGGTTCTCAGCCAGGGGGGTAATGCAGTGAGTCTTTTATTTACCTGTTAAGTATTTAGTTTTAGTTTATGAATATAAAAAAAGTTGAAAACTTTTATTCAAATTTTGGTATTTGTCAACATTTTCAATATTTTCACCTCATTTAATTAACATAGTGCATTAAATAATCTAAATTTAAGTAAATGTATATATACTTACGCTAAATACAAGGTTGTTTTTACGATTTTGAAATTTATATGTGTTTTTACGAGTTTTGGAAAGGAAGGGAGTAATGTTTGTCTAGCAATGCTAAAAGGGGTATGGGGGAACAAAACAAAACAAAAAAAAAAAAAAAAAAAAGGTTGAGAACCACTGTTTTAGAGTAATAAACTGCATGCTGAGTTTAAAGACGTTTTTACTTGGATTACATTTTATAAGGTGAGCCATAAAAACTACCCTATCTGCAACAATAATATAGCAAGGTGAACAGTATCTTTCTGACAAAATACTAATGAAAGAACTGAATAGAAAGCCGAACATTATGTGTAGAGGAATTCATAGAAGAAGTGAATAGAGAGTTGGAACACTGTGGTGACACCAGGCTGCCTGATAATTGCAGATGCATAATTGATAATTGCAGCTAAGGTCGTCCTCCAAAAAGCATGGTATCGGTATTGAAGGGAGGCAATTTTTTGGTGGACCACCCCATATAAATGCTCATTTGATTTGAATCCATCAAGGTTAACTATGAAATTGTAAAAGTAATTTCCTTCATTTATTCTCAGGTAAATGCTTTCATTTTTCAATGATATTATGCAGTTAATGCATAAATATTTAAAAAATATCTTCATTTTTTTTTAAATGATCATGATTTCTAGTAGAGTGTAAAAAAATAGTAGAGTGAAAAGTTATATGTTATCAGCAATTTGTTTTAACCAGTAATTTCTGCTATCAGCATAGGATTGAATTATTTTCTGTACAGAATTTAGCTGAAACTTCACTCTCATCTTGCTGACTTTTACTAGACTTAACTCTCAGGTGAATTTTCATTTAAAAAATAATTCAACTAAATTTCAGGTAAAATGCAAGCTATTGATAAAAAGAGCTGTATCAACAGTATTGTAATAATATACTTCTGGTTTAGCATTCCATTTCACTATTATTTTTCATCACCATTTTCATGAGAAACATTAAGTGAGGGTTTATTTCTTTCTTTCTTTTAACGTCATTATTACAAAGTTTCTGTTTTTCCTCAGATTCATTGAAACTTGTCTATTTATATGCATGCATACAAAATGTGTAGCATTATGTCAATAGTTAAGCATGAATCAGTATATAAGTATATATATATATATATATATATATATAGAATTATATGAATTTGGTTTAATTATTGTTTTATATTGGAAAGTTCTAAGAATAGAGATGCCTATAAGTGGCTGAGAGAATATAATTGCTGAACGTTGATCAGTCAGTCCTATGGCAAATGCAGCTAGCCTATTTGTCAGGTTCAAATTCCAGCAAATACGCTAGTTGCTTAGGTATTTTCATGGTTTTCCTCACATGTAACATGAATATGACTTTGTTTCCTGCAAAAAGTCTACAAGGAAAGCATCCCTTCCTTTATCCAGATAGCTGTTTCATGCTTTGCGTTATTCAAATAACCTATAAGAATAAGAACCTGTGAAAATTTGCAAATATAATGCTGATTTTTGTTCTTTGACTTCTAAATTAATACTTGTTTGACATGTTATTTTATCTTAACCTATAAGAGTTGAGTTTTATGAAACTTTTTATATTTTAGCCTTTCAAAACATTATCAATGTTTGCTAGTTACTTTCCTTTTAGTAAGCAATAATTGATGTATTAAAAATTGTGTTTTCAAGTAAGCAGTTATTTTTATTATATGTAAGAAACTAATTATTTGTAATAAAATACCATGAATATGCTATATTAGTTCTGTTGATGTCTTTATAATGTTACTAAGTCACATATTAACTTGACTGTGGGCCACTTAAAATGATTTTATGTAAAAAAACACTTTGAAGGAATAATATTTGTCATTATATTTCTCTTTGTAAAGATAATGAAATTTAGATTTCATGTCTTTAGGTTAAATGTTAAGCAATTAAAAGTGCGCCGTTGGGCATCTGAGATTTCTCGGTATAAAATGCTGTTTCATTCTAAGGAAGTTCCTAATCCAGACAGGTAAAATATTCTAAATTTCTTGTCTAATTTACTGTGTGAAAAATTAACCCATTGTTTGCAGTCATAATGAGTTATATTTTGAAATTTTAAAGTATTTATTTTTCTACAATTGATACCAATTATTCTTTTGTAAGATACTATGTTTCTCTGGATGTAGCTTCTCATGAAAAACAAAATTTGTGACACTGTACAAATAGCTGAGCAGTAATAAAAATTAAATATGGCAAGTAATATTGCAGTGATAGGAGTGTTACATTTTACTTCAAACATATTTTTCTTAAAGCGTATATTAGACTATCATCAAAACTTCTGAAAAATATTAGTTTAGCAAAGCTCATTATATGCTGCCGAGTCAGGAAAAAAAAAATGTAAATGTAATATTGTTTTCCTTTAAAATTCAGCCAGAAATGAAAGAAACTGAGACTAAAATTAAATTAAAACATTTAATTATTTTATAATTTTTCTTTTAAAAATTATAGTACTGTAAAAGCTGGACTATCTGTAAAGCTCAGGAACTACTAAATTCCAGATACAGTACAAATTCCATTTGTTTTCTTAGACACCGTATACGGAATGAATGTACAGTTTTTCAAGCAGAACTTCTGTGCATTTATCTTGCTGTCAATGGATCCGGGATCCAGGATCATGGGAAAACCTCCTCAAAGTACCTTATTTGTTCTGATTCTCCTTTCTTCTCTTCAACTTTTGAACAGTATTATCAGCTGCGATAAATTAGTTATCGAAACCCTAGTAACTGTTAGTTCACTTAGAATTAGGGTATTGATATCTGCTTTGCTTATGTGCGTGCTCATCATGGTTTCTACGGGAAATGACAGAGCTTATTTCTTAGCTAAAGATGCCTTAATAAATACCCTTGATTATCAACATAGCATTCCAAAGAGTTATTGGAAGTCCTTTCATTATAAAAAGCTTTTACCTATGTGGAATGAGGAATACATTTCATCTTTAATGCTGAAGTCACCAAAAAGTTCCTTCCTTCTATTACCATAACTGAATTCCAAGTCTTTCCTCTCGTTAAATTTTAAAGTGTCTCAGATTTTATCTGGTCACGGTAAATTTGCAGTTATCTGTGTCGTTTTAATCTATGATCAAAAATTTATGAATGTCAAAGAGTTCCTCAGATGTGGAACATGATTTTTTCGTGCCCTACATTTGATGGTCCTAGATATCTTACAAACGATTTGAAAATGTTCGGCGTGACTTGGCCAGTGAACTTATCTGTTTTCCGGAAGTCCAGACGCTTTTCTTGCTTTTGTTGGCTTTATTTATGCATGTAATTTTTAAGTTATTTATACATGCAACCTTTAAGTTCTAGTAACTTACTTCTGTAAGCCCTGTGTTTACATATGGGGTGCACGGGAGTCTGTATGTTTTCAAAGGAAAAAAAAAAAAAAAAAAAATCCGGACTGGTCGGGACTTAGGAGGCGATTCCGGATTGGGATTTTTCCAGATAACATCATCATTAAATCTGGTAAGATGGCACGCAGAATTATACAATTAAAAATATGAAATCATATTTATGAAATAAAGAACAATTATGATCTAAAGGGTATCAAAATTTAACAAAAAACAAAAAAAAGCTTTGTATAATTTTACTTTATTAACATTTCTTCCAATGCAAGTTGTTCAGATGCCCACAAAAAATTCAAAATTCCTTTTTCTTTTTGTGTATATACAGTGGATTTTCCAATGCCATACGCCTCGCACAATTTTGAGACAAATATGCCGTTATCCATTTTTTGTAGCAATTCCAATTTTTGTTTATTGGACATCGAAACATGGTTTCACTTTCTAGAACCATGTTTCGATGTCCAATAAACAACTTTGGCAACTCCAAAATTGGAAACTCTTTTCAACATAATCGAAAGTTCAAGCTTAATTTTCATAAAATTGGTGTAATAACAACAGTCTGCAAAAAATAATAAGCTGGATCAAATTATAAGATCAAGGAGCAGCACAGTCTGCTACATTAATTAAAATGCATTAGAATCAGTAAAGATAATTTTAGCCTAGCTTAATAGCGCATGTTTATACATTATTGGCTGTGTATCACAAGATTGGTGACGAAACCCCAGTTGTTTCGCTAAATTTTATTTTGCTCCTATTGCGTACTGAATTAAGCCTGAATTGTATTAGTTTATTATTTACTATACATACGTTTATTTCTTGCACATGCTTCAAAGTAATCCAAGTACTGAATAAATAAACTCTCACATATACATAAGGCCACTTATCTAAAGCCGGTACTCGATACCACCTGGTGCAGTCTCTAGGGTCCTAAATTCTGCTCCAAAGCACTTTCCTAAGTTCTAAATTTCCCCTGTGCCTAACTTTGGATCCCAGTGCTTTCCCTAATCATAAAAACTTTTCTCATCCCTTAATTTTGTCACTCGGTGCTTCCCCAAATCCAAAAATTTTGTCGTCCAGTGCCGACATATTCTGCCGCTGCTTCTGGGTTTATGGTGAATAAATATCAGTTATTCTTAGTACAATAGCACTAAATGTAATCTTTGGATATGAGTTTCATTAAAAAATTCGGTTTAGCATATGAAAAGAAATTTTTGTTGAATTTTCCTTCGTAAACATTCATTTAACTACATCTTAGTGCATTTAAAAATCTATAATCATCGTCAAGTATTGTCGTATAAAAGGTTGCCTTACTCTTGTTATTCAAGTACTAATATAAAAAAGTTTAGACATGACGGCATGTATTGATAAACATGCGGTGATGAAAGCAAAATATAATAATACTGACTCCCAGGTCAGTGTCATGGATATAAAATAGTGAATGATTGGTTGGAGATGTATGCCAAGTAGACACTTACTACGGAGCCAATTATTAATCTCCAAATTATGCTTACTATTGTTTTCCAAATTAGGTATTTTATTAAGACCTAATGAAATTAAGAATCGGAATTTTTAAGCAAAATCTCCACAGTTTTATTATGGAGGAAAAATCAAATGTGGCATGCATACAGCATTAATAAAAAAAAATTTTGTGGCTTGAGTTCCGATTTTAATCATTTCGATAAATGGATGTCTGGATTTCGGACTTTGTACTGTATGCAAAGATTTTGATTATTAAGTGTTGTATAAAAAGGGTAGTTACAGCAAAAAAGCCAGAAAAACAAAAGAAAAAAAAATCCTGTCTAAAATTATAAAAGGCTCATATTATTTGTTATCACCGTGAATATTAAATGCTTACATATAAATTATCTGAGATTTCCAAAGAAAAAAGGGCATTTCACACATAAATGCGCAAGTAAAACATATTTGATTAGGAAATTCCACTGACCATGAAAATTGACTTTCACCAGTCATTCCAGAAGAAGTTGAGACAACCAAAAGATAACTGTTTACTTAGTTAATCAACATGTACAAATTGCATACATTAATAAAAAAGTCAAGGAAAAAACTTGAGTTGCTTCTCAGAATTTTTCATATTGTACAGCCAGTATTTATCCATTTTCATATAAGTTGCACTTTTCTTGATGCCAGGATCCCATAAATTGAAAATTTTCTACTGCATGCTGTTCTATTGAAGACAAATTAAAAACATTAAATTTTTTTTTTTTTTTTCAAAATGTGATTGAAAACAGATAGACAGCAGTTAACTTACATCATTTTTTACGAGAACAAAATTGACATTTTGAGAATTAATCATGTTTATGTAATGCAAACGCATTATATTATACTTGTCCATTATTGGTGCTGAATCACACTATTTGGAGACAATTTTTGTTCGATTCAAATCATGCTTTATAACACAGTCTTTTAGTCTTATTTGTGCCTTATCAAGTTTAAAAACTCTTATTTGCTTAATTTTACACTAAAAAAAGTTTCTAAAATTTGAAAATATTTCAGCTAGATGAGCTTTATGGTTAGTTGAATGCTGAATAGTCAGACTTTGTACTTGCATACCAGTAAATCTTAAAGCCTATAATGTCAGGATGTATATACTTTCAAATATTTCCAAGTAATGCTGCAATTTGCCTGTACCTTGTGCAAGATTTTCTTTTGGATTTCTGAAGTGAAGGGAGTGTGTTTAACAATAAAGAATGACTGAATAATTGTCAATAAATATTTTTTATCTACTTAAGAATTATGTAAATTGTTTAGTTTGTAATCTGTGTTTTTTAGGAAAAATCAAAAATGGTCACCTACAATTAATACAAAACTTTTAAAATAAAGATTTCGCAAAGACAGACTAATAAATGAGAAATTTTTAAAATGTGAAAATAAACTTGTGCTATTGAAGATTGAAACTGCAGCATTAAAAGAAGGATAAGTCACAGAAATTTGAAATTCAAATCATCTTGGTTTCATCTTGGTTTAATGAGTATGGCATGTAACCATTATGAACAGAAACATAAATACATCTAACTACATCTTGGCATGCTATCACTGAGGTCATTAATCATTGTCTGATGAATGTTTCATCATTAGTTCAAGCATCTGGGAAGGAAAGCAATCAGTTCGTTAATATCCCATATGTATTCAATGAGAAACGAGTCTGGAGATGCAGCAGACTATAGCAACACATAACATCCTTGTAGACTATTCATAGTAGCACAAGTAACTCGCAGCCTTGTTTTCTTGTGGGAAAACAGCTTATAGAGCACTTTGTACTGGACATACCACTAATGGCATAGATCAGTATAAATGACAAAATCAGCATAATGTTCTATTCCTTTTCTAGCATTTCGCCATCCTTGGCTGAACCTCCTGGATGCCAAATATGTAGTTAAAAAGTTTTGCCTATGAACCAGAGAAGGATTCGCATTTAGCCATCTGGCCAGTTCTTTGTCCTGCTTCTAGTCTCCCAATAGCTATCCATCAAAGTTCTTCGGCAATGCAACCTGGAGGTTGTTGTTACAAATTGGCTATTCCAGATTTCTTTTCTCAGTATCACAGCGAAATTTGCAGACTTGTTCTGAAACATGCAATTTTATGCTCCTCACAGATAATGTATTTTGATTGCAG